GCTTAAAATAAATCTGCACTTTTATTTATTTTGAAGCCTATGAGTCCACTTTTTACGTTGAAGTACTTTTTAATTTTAAGTTATCTGTTCTAACTCTGTATCTGCACACTATGCTGGCGCGACGCATTATGGGGCTGGTAAATATTTTTTTTCCAGGGCTGCTTTTAATTCCCAGTCCGGCCCTGCAGAGGAGGGGTGGCTAGGGCTGCATAAACAGAAAAAAAAATGATTTAGTGAATTGAGCAGTGAAATTGCAGGGGAATGATCTTTACACTAAAACTGCTTTATTTAGCTAAAGTAATTTAGGTGACTCTAGTGTTCCTTTAAGTTTACAGGATGAGTTGTACACCACCATCAAAGTAAGATCTACTGAAATGGATTCTAAGTTATCAAACAGTCCTTGCGCATGACAGATTATACAGCAGAAATGACTAATGTAGTTGTAGCTTTCATCAATGGCAAACTAACAGTTCCATTCATTTTTGATATCCATGAATTGTGACATTCACTTACAGTTACTGAATCAGGTAGGTTGGGGTGGGATTAGTGCACACTTTGCAATCTCTTAACTAAACTACTGATTGGGACGGATTCTCCAGTTTCTCCATTGTTATTGTAAATGGTGCAGTAATCAAATCATTATGGAAGACAAGTTAAATCTATAGATGGATTTGTAATTACTAACTCTGTCATTCACTATGAGAAACAAATGGAACTGCTAGGAGAGAGTGAGAAATAATAACTGTATCGCTGGTGGCGTGGCAAATATCAACCAATTAGGCTAGGTATTTCTAAAAATAAAACTTAACTTTTAATATAGCAATTAAGAGGTGAAATAAGTCACCACGACAAAAAGAAAAGGAAAAGAAAATTCACACAGAAATAAAAATGTACATATTTACAAAACAATTATCCAGAGTGCAGCTATAATCTCTAATAGGTCCCCCCCCTTATTATTTAAGGCCCCCACCCACCGCACAGGGGTGGGGGTCAGGGGGGAGGACAGTAGGTCCCCCCCACATTCTTATTTAGGGCCGCTCAGGGGTGGGGGCCGGGGGGAGGACAATAGGTCCCCTCTTATTGTCATTTAGGGCCCCCACCCGCAACGCAGGGTGGGGACCGGGGGGGTAGGACAGTAGGTCCCCCCCCACATTCTTATTTAGGGCCCCCACCCACTGCTCAGGGGTGGGGGGCGGGGGGAGGACAATAGGTCCCCCCTCCCTTATTGTTATTAGGGGCTGAATTTACTAATACTAAGTAATCTTAGGGCTTTCAGCCTTTGGGTAGATAGCTCCCTAATACCGTGGGAATTAGGGAGTTATCTACTAAGCAGCTGCAAGATGCAGGCACAGCACAAATAGGATCGGAGTTTCATTCATTCGAATTAAATTCCGATACGAACAAACCCCGAATTGCATCCTAACATGAATGAACAAACTGTTCTCATTCTGTTAGGATGCAATTCGGTTGTTTTGCCGGCGTTCTGTCTAAGCAACAGGACGTTCAGCAATACTGAGAGGATGCATCGTGGGAACAGGAAGGATAGCTAAGGATTGTGGTAAAATTGCTCTGACCACCGGAAACGAAGCACACTTTGCTCCTCCACTGGTCATAGATGGTCATGGCGTAGGAAACCTCCAGAAGAGAAATAGTCCCTACTTTGTCTTAATTTTTAAGGAAAACTAGAGCAGACAGGAAGAAATAAGGAACAGATCCTGGCAGAGGGAGAGAAGAGGAATCGATTGGGGAAAGGTAAGTTCGGCATGACAGTGCTGCTTTAAACCTAAAAAGTTTGGAAACCACTGGTTTTGCTAGAGATAGTGCAAATAAAAAAAGTCCAGCAATGTAGTGGGAACAAAAAAGCAACATTGTATTAGCCAATAATTGCTGACAAACAATGTAGCCAATACATGTCTGTAGCAATAGGAGTGATGGCAGGGAGAGGAAAAGTAAATACTAATTCTGTGCCATTCGAGGGCACCCCTTAACCCAAAATGCCTGTTACTCCTAAATGGATGCATAAGAAATGTCTCCCACCCCTAGAATAGATATCATGAAAGAAAGCTGGAGATTGTGATGATAGCCATTTTTTCCCCCTCCTATATATGGGGAGCGGTATTAGTAAATTTCTGTTAACGCCATTATAAGCCGAACATTAGCTCACTCGTGATACAGTGGCTATGAAGTGTGCTTGTCAGAACCCCTGACGCACGTTCCGCCAATCTGGCTCATCAGAGGGGATATGAGAAACAACTATCACTTAGTACTTCAGAGTATTGGTCGCCTATATTTATTGGCAGCACAACACAAACACCTCCTTATAAAATGGGGTTGGTAAGAGGTAGGCTTCCTTTGGCAATTCAGATGTTGTGGACTGTGACTTCACTGATGCTTTTGCCAGCATTATGGAGGATGTAGTCCACAATATCTACCTACCACTGACATAAGTGCTAAAATGACATGACAAAAATATTAAAGCCTTGGGGAGAGCTGAACGACAGATACCTGCATTGATAATATAATATATTCTCATTTTACTGACTGACAGCAATATCTTTGTTTCCTAATGGAAAACGTGGGCGCATAAAATATGATTATTACTTTGTTCCAGTCGGACACATGGTTTCCTAATATTGACAAACAAATACCTTTAGTTTCCCCGGTAACCGACTTGTCAGTTTCTCAGCATATTCGTGGATTGGGGAATGTAAGTAGATATTGGTTGTGTGCCACAGTCGGTCCATCTGCTTTCGAGCTGCTTCTGTGACTTTCCTGAAGTCATTTAAATAGATATTTGAGGTTATAAAACTGTTTTATTGTGTACATGATAAAAAACTGAACATGATAACAACTGATATATTAAAAAAATAAATCAATAAATAACAACAGAAATCATACATAAGGCAAAGGTCTGAGTTGAATCAGTTTCCACTTGGTGTTTTGTTTGGCATTTTTGCCATCACTTGTGAGTGGTATTGGGAACAGACATCTTCTTAACTTATTCACAATAAGGGACTACAGCTTTTCATTGCACTATTGCGCATGTACGAGAAGATCTCTAGACAACTGTGGCTTTGAGGGATCTTTCACCAACTTCGGTTTTGTGCTCTCACACATGAGCAAAAATATGCAATAACTCCACAAGTGACAGCACTTTAGTTACGTTAATATAGGCTGTAATGAAGATTCTCATTAGAACCTAGGTTCTGTCTACCTTATCTAAATTGCTAAAAAAAAACAAACTGCTTTATATTCCTATATATTCTTTACATTCCTAACTCCTTTCCTTCCTCATGGTCTTTGCCTGAAGGAACTACCTGGAGGTTAGATGTGACAGGTTTTTCAACATTTGAGGAACATTTTTTTTTTTCTGACCTGGTGTTCTAAAATGACATCAAGTTCAAGCATGGAACAAAATTGCAGTAAACGGCATAATTGTGAGAAAGCAGATTGACAATTCAGCTGTTTTGGTCTAAATTTACAATTCGCTGGTCGATAATTTACCATACTAACATTTTGCAATAACCTGTGTAGTATAAGACACTTTGCAGCAAAATATAGCCTACCTGTTGCTGTGAAAACTACCCAAACACACTGGCATCTGTTTATGTAACACAATACCAATAATGCTTTTATTGAATCAACAAATTATCTTAATAGTGACTTTGTTTTTCATTGTATTATTGTTAGATTGCAAATGTTTTATTCTGCCCCTGGAGCAGGCCTCAACACATGGAATGCTTAAGGCTGATTAGGATAATCCTCTCAGACTGAGAAGGCAATTCTGGGACATGGGAATTTGATAAGAATTTTACATATTTTTTCCATTAAGTGCTATTAATGGTGTGTTGTTAACATTTAAATACCAGTGAGTGCGGTTATTGTTACTACACGTTCCTGAGAGTTCCATATATGGAATACTGCTTATCTTCACCTGGGGGAAGCAGCACATAGACATGTAAACAGAAATTAGCCAACTGCAGGTTAGCTGAGAGATTTATTATTAATTAATAATTATTATTACCCTTTTTAATTACGAGTCATTATCTCGGTTCACACACACAAAAATGGGTATTTTATTCTTATGTTATACATTATATTAAATTTAACATTTAAATTATTTTCCAAATAAAATTATTGGTTGGTGACAGCTGTAGATACTTACGGGTGACAATGGCCCACACTAACGGTCACAATTCCTGCAAATAAATCAAGGTAGCGGTGGCCTTCGGAATCAAAGACCCATTGCATGTGACCCTGATGCAATAGGAGAGGTTTCTGATAATATGTTTTTAATGCAGGAGACACGTTGTTCTGTCGGATATCTACAATACGTTCATATGGGAGTGACTGCAAAAAGAATCAGAAAAAGAATCAAAAATGTATCTGATGATACGATAATAATTATAACATAACTGCCTAGGCATGTTATGTGATACAGATCCACTCCATACACTCTGATTTGTGCAAGGATTTCAATAGAATGCAAAACAATATGCAAAAAGTAAAGTGAATAAATAGTCATGGATTTATGTCCAAGAAGTAGGCTAATCCCAAAAGATTAATTAGGTTAGGACCTACCAATGCTGGTGTACTTTGGCACAATACCAGGCTTATGTAATGTGTAATAGCATTCACTGATTTTAGAAACATTTCGGCTTTAAAACTAGTTTAAAATCATAGGCGTGCGCAGCCTATTGCATTAGGGTGTGCACCCTAAAGCACAAGCACACGCCGCGTATATATATGTATGTATGTATATATATATATATATATATATATATATATATATATATATATATACACATATATACACACACACACATACACTGCTGTGTGTGTGTGCTGTGTGAGGGTGCTGTTAGGGTGTGTGTGTGTGTGTGAGGGTGTTTGTGTGTGCGCGCTTGTGAGGGTGCTGTTAATGTACTGTGTGTGATGGTGCTGTTTGTGTGTGCGCTTGTGAGGGTGCTGTTAATGTACTGTGTGTGAGGGTACTGGTAGTGTGCTGTGTGTGTGTTTGTTAGGGTCCTGTTTGTGAGGGTACGGTTAGTGTGCTGTGTGTGTGGGTGCTGTGTATGTCTGTGGGTGCTGTATGTGTGTAGGTGCTGTATGTGTGTGCTGTGTATGTGTTTGGGTGCTGTATGTGTGTAGGTGCTGTGTATGTCTGTGGGTGCTGTATGTGTGTGGGTGCTGTATGTGTGTAGGTGATTGTGGGGGGTGGAGGTGGGGGTACATTACTTAATATCCCCCTCCCTTCTTACTTTATGTAGGGAGGGGGGATTCTTGTTCCTTGCTGCCTTCCCTGGTGGTACAGTGGAGGTGGGGGCAGATTACTTAACATCCCCCCTCCCTTCTCACCTTATGTAGGGAGGGGGGATCCTTTCTGCCATCCCTGGTGGTCCAGTGGTGCGTGAACTCTAGCCTGCGGGGCTAGAGTTCACTCTCGCGAGATCTGAGTGTTGCCGCAGCGGAACCTGGCGGAGCTGCCGGCGGAGCTGCCCGGGTCCTCTCCTGCCTCCCTCCCTGCATGTGGGTCAGTGGGGAGGGAGGCTGAGCGGCACACCCCGTGCGCACGCCTATGTTTAGAATGAAGTAGTCTGTATTTTGTAATAGGCCATTAAGGGGAACATTAGATTCTTTTCTCTATGAGCCCAAGTTTGTGTGAGTTTGGGCTGATCGGGTATTTGTACAAATTACAAATTTCACATCTACTACCTAGACCAGGGGTAGGCAACCTACGGCACTAGTGCCATGCACGACACTCAAGGTCTCTTTGCACGGCACTCAAGGCTGCTAGAGCCAAACAGGCTCTGGCCTATCAGGAGTCCCAGTGATACCTGCTAATACAAAAAGGTGGTAAAGGACAATCCTCAATTTATGGATTGCAGCACATAGAGGAAGTGATCTCAGATCACTTCCTCCCAGCACTTGTGAATGGGAATCCACACTGTAGTAGAGCAGCCTGCAGCTGCTGTTGCAGCTCCTGTCCTTGATCTATACCTGGCCAGCCTGGTCCCCACTGGAACCCAGGGAAGCCACCCACACTGCCAAGCCACATACACAGAAATGCAGAATAACCCTCCCCTCATACAAATAATACGAACAGACCACAAACATACACACAATCCGCAGAAACTTAACCTGCTAACAATCCACATACATGCAGTCTCTCACATGCAATACCCCAAACAGCCCCCACACATACACACACTACCAAACACACAATGTGACATATCCATCCACACACACACAATTCCACAAGCAGCCCCCATACACAGCCCACATTTATAGGTATCATACACGATACCACAAACTACTCCTGAACATATACAATATAATAGGTCATATATGCACAAATATTCAACGATACAAAGCAATTACAGTATAAATAACACAAGCAGAATACGGCAGCATACACACCTCAGTTTTAAAAAAATAGGACCGGCACGCTACAGGGTATCACAATCCTATATCGGCACAGTGCTGCTAAAAGGTTGCCTACCCCTGACCTAGACCAATCACAAAATAAAAAAAAAGCACAATGCATGAGAAATATTATTTATTTTCTGAAAAGTGGTTCGGCCAAAACATTTTTTATGCCATGTACAAGCCTAGTGAAAATTAAAGGAACACCCCAAGCACCATTGTAAATAGGACTAATTTTAGAAGGAAGTTTTTTTTAGAAAGTTGTGGGGTCCACCTAGGACCACTCCCCACCTTCATTAGTTTGAGTTCATGAGTTTGAGGCTCTCTGAGCTAAGCCTGGCAGTACAGGCTGAAAGCGATCAGCAGACACTCCTAGCCAATGAGCTAGCTCAGGAGCGTTAACAGAAGATCCTTAGTAGGAGCTTCTGGCTCTCCTTTAGCTGTAATCGAGATGGTGTGTGGCCCACAGTGCGCCCACGGTAAAAAGTTAAAACTTTCTAAAATTGACTACTTACAATGGGGGTACTCCTGGCACTATAACCACTATAGTGGTCTGTAGTTGTTATGGAGTTTGGAGTATTCCTTACACAACTTGGTAACTTGTGTATAAGGAACACTCCAATAAACTTGGTAAGATGAATTAGTGACAAATCTCACTACATTTCAGTAAATTCTCAAGTACTCTATTGAGACAGCCAATCATCACAAAGTATTCATTTATATTTATCCTATACCTCAACACTTGAAGTCTGTGTTTCAACAACACTGTCTCCCTGCATATAATGTAAAATGTACAAATTAGCACATTGTGATTATGGAGTCAAGAACTACCGGTAGATTTTCTCTTTTTAAGGAGAATTTGTTGAAAGCATCTGCACATCATGAGCCTGGCTAATGTGGGATTCTTTAAGGGCCTAAAACCATCCAAAGTGGGTTATTAAGAGAATAGGGCTAGATTTAAGAGAATAGAATTAGCTGTATATAAAATGATATGGTCAAGGGACATATTTAGGAATAGGGTAACGATGAATGGGCACAGGACTGCAGCCTGTAATTGATCTAATTGTTTGATAAAGCAGGAGCAGGATTAGAATGTAAATATTTAATGCCATATGTTCTATTACTTAGCCCCTTAAGGACACAACTTCTGGAATAAAAGGGAATCATGACGGAATATTTCCGTCATGTGTCCTTAAGGGATTAAATTTGCACAGATCCCTGTATAATGTAGAAGATGCAGTAAACATCTCAGAGTATTTAATAATGTTATACATATACTCTTGACAAAATGTTTGAAACTAAAATAAAGTACCATTCAGCCAGTGGTTGAGTATGAGTGAATACTCAATATTGAGTCAGTTACATTGAATTGTAGCTCAGAAATCAGTTGGTGCCAAGATGTAAGTCCAGTCTACCCCTGTCTGTTAATGTGTGTTTACCTCCCTCTTATGACCCCACTCAGATGATTAGTCAGGTTAATTACTTACCTCGTACTTTTCAGGCTGGAAGCTGCACGGGGGCATTTTCGGGTGCCCATTGCTTGACAACTGTCTGCAAGACACTATTAGATACTTTAAATCTCTATACGCAAAGTATTATTACAATTAAAATAGAGATGTCAACTGATAAATATAACCAGAATGAAAAATCTGCACAAACTGGAGGTTTTAATGGAGCAAAAAATAGTGAGTGTGACATATTAACAGTTTATAGCATTTTAAAGATATTTTTATAGTATGCGCTCATCTGTCTTTTGTTCTTAAAATCTATTGCTAAGATATGGGTTTCTAATGTAGCATTTGCTTTCAATGTTGATGGTTTTAAAATAAACATTGCTGTTTAAGAGATGTCAAAATTGCACTGCATAAAAAAACAAAAAAAACAAAAAAAAAACACCACAAACACCAAAACAATATAAAAGCAGCCACATTACAGAAACATTAACAGCAACTACAACAACCACTTAAAAAAAAACAAAAAAACAATGCCACAACGGCTAAGGTCTGTTTAGGGTTAGGTTAGGTAGGCATAGGGTAAAAAAAATAAAAAATAAATTATATATATATTAATAATATAGGGTTAATGGGTACAGGTTTCGAGATGTTATGTCCCATGATTCTGAACCCCAAAGCTGCATTCATTTTAAAGGAATGTCACAAAAGTTAGAGTTGACACATGGAAACAAGTACAGCCCATTGTACAGCGCTGTGGAATTTGCTCGCACTATATAAATAATAAAATAATAACAAATATAAAATAATAATAGTTCTGTTGGCAAAGCTTGAGTTGCTATACTGCCCAAGAGATCTGAGCAAGTTTTCTTATGGAAACCCTACGAGGGAATTTATCTCCCATTTTCCTATGGTATCAGAAAATAAATCATCATCAGCATTTGTGTAGAGCAGTGCAGGACGCTAGCAGTGATCTTCACATATCTATGGACTGAAGCTTTGCCTAGCGCATTACAAGATTTCTATAGTGCCAACAATACAGGTGTGTTTTTTGGTGGGTTCAGCGTTTTTTATGCCCAGAGAGCAAGAAGACTTGCCCGAAACTTTCATAAAAAAGTCACTCTCCTGGAAACCACAAAAACATTTTTTTTTAAAAATGATCACATTTGTAGAGATTTTTTCACCCAATAGTGAGCTGAATTGATCTGAATTTTCTAAACATAGGCCAAAAATAGTTCATTTCAGATATAGCGCAGCTCAAGAATTCTTCCAAGCTTGTTACAATGCCAGAGTTCTACAAAATCAGCCTGTAACAGAGCCTGTTTAAAGAAGGGCACACTTTGGACTTGTTTTTTGTTAAATATTGGTACAATGTAACTGTTTGACTAATTAGTCAAAACAAATCAAGGAATTAGAGAGTATTGTAAACTGCATAGAAACTAGAATTATTAACATTCTCAGAGACCTGCTATTTTTGTCCTAGTCTTTATCTTTAACCATCATATAGAAGGTCAATGTCCTTGCCCTCTAGGTTAGCCTTTAACAAACATTCTATGGGTTAATAATGAAACTGTAAAATTCTTGGTGATTTATTGCAGGAACAAACTACATTTTTTTTTTCTTACTCTAGAAGAAAAACTGAGGCCTACATTTGAAATAAACTGCAATGCTCGAGAGAACACATAAGTAGTGAAGAACATATCCTTTGTATTTTCATACATGCTTTTCATTTAAAAAAAAAACGTTTCATTTTTTTCCCCCCCTCCCTTTACTATGAAAATACTTATCTTGGTAGTATCTAGTAATTTATAATCAGATAAAATATATCAAAGTATGGAGAATGGTCCATTCATTAGAAAATACGTTTTGAAAGTTGTAAATGTTTCCTTATTAAAAGGTGTAACAAAATACATTGGCTATTACTGTGTAGTGCTCCACCAGGCACATATGTTTCTCTATTGCACAAGG